GGCCTGGTTGTTCATCCGTGCGTCGAGCTTGCCAGCGCTCATTCTGCGATCCAAGACCATCGCCAGCACGTTCGACTCCGCCGCCACAGTCGATGACTGCGACTCCTTTTGCTCTGAGCCACTGAGCTTCAACACCGCGGGGGCATAGCGATCGCGCGCGCCCCCCACTTGACCCCTGCTTCGGCCGTTACGGCATCAGCACCGCGAGGAGGCTTCCCTTGGACTGCCGACACGAGCGTCAGCTGCATGATCTGCTTCCTCACGGAGCCGTCGAGCCCCGCCGGCGTCTTGTCCCACGACCCACTGCTCACGCCCGAGAGCCCAGGCTCTTGCGTGCCCGTGGCAATCCCCGAGTCAAGGTCGACCACCGCCTCACGCTCGTTTAGTTTCTTGACGAAGGAGCCGCCGTTGTCGGCGCCTGGCTCAAAACCTTCCTTCTGGCGCGGAGGTTCCAGCGCAGAACTTGGTGGCGAGTGGGCGGGCGCGGAGGTTCCGCCGCGGACCACGAGGATTTCGCATTTTCTCTCTCTCAAGTCGATCGCCGCCGAGGCCAGCTCTGGCCGACCTCGCGCCGTCTCTTCGAGAAGAGCAGCTTGCTGTCTGGTTCGTCGTCGTCGTCACCTGCTTCCTCCCCCCACAGGCGGGCGTTTCCATAGCTGTCGCAGTCCCTCTCGCCGTCTGTCTCCACGTCGCCCCCGCTGCTGCCTGGGCCGAGGCAGACCGCGCCGGGTAGAGCAAGCTGATGATGAAACCTGCCGCGCCCGTGATCTTCTGGAGGCCGCTATTGTCGCGCAACTCGCTAGCGAAATCCATCGCGCGCGACGGGGTCTCGACGGCTTCGATGACAGGGGGCACAGTATGGTGCAGCCCTGTCACGACTGAGCAAATCCTGAAGACACGCCAGACTCGCCAGCCGATGAAGCTCACCGCTGCAATCGGAGACGTAGGTGCGCTCGCTGGCACCACCAAGTCACCAGGGCGGTCGCGAATCCGCTGAACGTCCATCTTTCCGCCCGCGTCTTCGTTGCTTTGCCTTTTCTTCCTAGTGTTATTATTAGTGTAGTACTTTTGTTACGGTTATCATTATTATGATGATGGTGGTTATTGTTGTTATTACTATTATTATTGTTATTATTATTGTTATTATTATTATTATTATTAGTATTACTATTAGTATTAGTATTATTACTAGTATTATTATTAGTGTTATTATTATTTTTATTGTTAATATTATTATTATTCGTATCATCATTATTATTATCATTTGTACTAGTAGTTTTAGTAGTAGTAGTAGTAGTAGTAGTCGTAGTCGTAGTCGTAGTCGTAGTCGTAGTCGTAGTAGTAGTAGTAGTAGTAGTAGTAGTAGTAGTAGTAGTAGTAGTATCATAAATAATATCATGACTCGTAGTATTGTTATTGTCATCATTATTATTAAGATTATTAATATTTCCATTACTAATTTCATTAGTATGATCATTTGACGCCGGCTCGGCCTTGGTGCTCGCCGCCTCGGGCCCCTTCAGCCCGTTCTTCGCAGTCAGCCTTACCGCGGCGATGGTGGCAGCGTCGTGCCGCTTGTCGGCCCAGGGAATTCCTTCCAGGGGACCCCCAAGTTCTTCCCGAGGGGAGGTCCTTCCCGATCGGAAGAGGAGGTGGAGGAGGAGGAGGCGGAGGAGGAGGAGGAGGCAGATGAGGAGGAGGAGGAGGAGGAGGAGGAGGAGGAGGAGGAGGGGCCCGCGCGAACTTCTTGTCCCGCAAGTTCACTGCGATGACGCGCTGCGCGGGGTCCACTCCGTCCAGGTCGTAGACTTCTTGGCCATCTCCATGCGACTCACCAGCAGGAGGACTCCAGCGGGCTTGCCCGTCTTGCTCTGGAGATGGACCCTGCTCCACCGCGCCCACGGCGGCACGGAGCTCCCTTCAATACATCGGGCCGTAGGATTGCTGGGACGGACGGTCCCTGCGCTGACCGCCAGGAGGCGAGGTCGAACCCGCCTCCTCCTCCTCCTCCTCCTCCTCCTCCTGCTCCTCCTGCTCCTCCTGCTCCTCCTCCTCCTCCTCCTCCTCCTCCTCCTCCTCCTCCTCGCTCCTCCCCCGGACCGCCCCCCTGGCCGCCCTGGCCGGAGGAGGAGGGTCTTGAGTTCCCCCTGGTCCACGGGGATCCGCCCCCCCCGGTCCCTCGTGTCCACCACAGGGGGGGGGGGGAACGGGGAGGTGGGGGGGGCAGGGAGGATCCCAAGAGGCACCCAATAGGCCTCCTCCTCCTCCTCCTCCTCCTCCTCCTCCTCCTCCTCCTCCTCCTCCTCCTCCTCCTCCTCCTCTTCCTCCTCTTCCTCCTCTTCCCTCCACAGGAGGGGGCGCCCCCCTCCTGTGCCCCAGTCAACATGTCATCAAAAAGGGCCAGGGTGGTACGGTAGGTTTGCGTCGTGTCGACCGGCGGCGACCCCAGCGCGGGCGTTCAAGGTTGAACGCCGCCGGCGGCCCAGAATCGGTCGATGTTGAACGATCGGACGTTGCGGAGACGGCCGATCGTTCAAGGTTGAACGATCCCTGCGGTGTCAAAAACCAACGCTGGGGTCGGCACGACACGAACCTGCCGTAATCTGACCCGGGACCACCCCCCCGTCACCCTCGTCCCCCGCCAAGGATGGGAAAAAGGAAAAGGTGATGGTTCCTTAATTTCTTTGGGACTGGCGACGACGACGACAAAAGCTGTGACAGCGTTTCTCACTCACCGCATGGTCGGCGGACTTACGCGAGGGTGAGTAGGAAAGGAGTCGAGAGGAGCAGGAGCAGGAACAGAAGGAGGAAGGCGATGGACGGGAGAGAGGGGGAACGGCATTCAGAGGATAAGACGGGGAGAAGGTCGAGGGAGTGCTGAGTGAGGGTTGCGGAGGATCCCGTCAGGTGCAAGCGCCAAGCCTCCACATCTTTCGAGGAGCTTCCGGATGCCTCCTCGACCAGCCCCCAGGGGCATCAGGCGGGCCCAAGGAGCATTCCCACGGGGGTCGGCGAAGGAGGATTGCGGATGACCGCGTAGTGAGCGCAACGTCGCGAAGGCCCAGAGGATCTCCCGGGACCTTCTCGTGGGCTCAGGAGCCTCACGGGGCGCCTCCGCGGGCCTCCATGAGAGGGTGGTTTGGAGTCGGCCTCCAGGGGGCCCCGAGACCTCTTCGGGAGGCTCCCGGGGGGAGACTCATTTCGTGACCCTCCCTTTCGGGTGTCTGCAGGGGGACGGGCAGATTTCTCTTTCTTCCAAGGGAGGGGGAGAAGAAAAGAGAGGGCAGGGAGGAGGACGTAGGGAGATCTGGAGGAGGAGGAGGAGGAGGAGGAGGAGCAGGAGGAGGATGAAAATGAGGAGGAGGAGGAGAAGGAGGAGGAAGATGATGAGGAGGACAAGGACGAGGAGGAGGAGGACGAGGAGGAGGAGGAGGACCAGTTTAAACCAAGAGTCATCAACGATGTTGGAATTAACCCTGCCTCCAAGCTCCCTCTTCACAGGCCCCCACAACGGTTCATTTCCATTGAGGGAACTGCCTCGTTGGAAGACAACCGTTTGAAGATCCTGAAGCATGCCAAAACATTGTTTTCGGGATCTTAACGCCACGTATCAACCTGACCGCTGCGCCTTGACGATCCGGAATCGTGCCGGAGCGCCATTTTGGGGATTTCATCACTGCGAATCAACAGAATTGTTGCGCACGCGTTATCCTAAATTCTTCAAACTCATTATTTCTATTAGGTTGGTCATGGGACACTGAACCTCTTGCAGTTGTTTAAAACGAATGTGCGCGGCGCTAAGGCGAGAGCCACATTTTATGAAGGAACCGCCCTCAATCCGTGAAGCTCTAGTAAATGTGTTAAACGAATGTGCTTGGCGCTAAGGCGAGAGCTACATTCTGAAAACGGCCCGCCCTCAATCCGTGAAACTCGTGCAAATATTGAAAGCGAATGTGCGCGGCGCTAAGACGAGAGTCACATTTTGAAAACGACCCGCCCTCAATCCGTGAAACTCTTGCAAAGTTTGAAAGCGAATGTGCGCGGCGCAATGGCGAGAGCCACATTTTGAAAACGGCCCGCCCTCAATCCGTGAAACCATTGCAGATGTTTAAAACGAATGTGCGCGACGCTAAGGCGAGAGCCACATTTTGAAAACGGCCCGCCCCAATCCGTGAAATCCTTGCAGATGTTGAAGGCGAATGTGCGCGGAGCTAAGGCGAGAGCCACATTTTGGAAACCATTTGCCCTCTATATGTGAAGCTGTTGTCACTTTGTAAGTTTCAGAGTCATGAACGGGGAGGAAGTCTCAGGCGAAACGCCCGGCCCACCCTAAAAACTGACTGGTCTCGGGGTGCGACAGGGAGGAGTTATCTATAACGAGAAGTAATGGAGGAGGAGGGAGGATTCTCTGGTCGCATGGAGCGGGGGGGGTCGGGTACTAGAAAGGGGGGGGGAAGAAGGGGGCATTGGGAGAGGAGAAGCAGGCATACTAAGGATGAAGATGATGATGCTGATGCTGATGTTGCTGCTGATGATGATGCTGATGATGGTGGTGGTGATGCTGATGCTGATGATGATGATACTGATGACGGCGATGGTGATGGCGATGGTGATGGTGATGATGATGATGACGATGATGATGATGATGATGATGATGATGATGATGATGATGATGGTGATGATGATGATGGTGATGGTGATGGTGATGGTGATGGTGATGTTGATGGCGATGGTGATGGCCATGGTGATAGTGATGATGATGATGGTGATGGTGATGATGGTAATGATGATGGTGATGGCGATGGTGATAGCGATGATGGTGATGCTGATGATGATGAGGAGGAGGAGGATACGGAGGACGAGGGAGAGGAGACGTTGGCGTTGATCGCATCATTTGAGTTTGCCGCAGCTTGCCCAGATAACGAATAGTACCAGTGCGTTTCAGTTTATTCGGCAGTGGGTTCTAGAAGTGTCATCGTGGCTGGCGACCTCTCTCCCAGGTGCACGACGTGCTGGACACGAAGGTGAACGAGAAACCATTCGAGGATTTGAAGCACTGCACTGCGTCTTTGACCAAGGGCGTGGTGAAGTTCGCCCAGGCTCCCAATATGTCCACAGCTCGCGCGCGTGAGACGTGCATCTCTGCCAGAAGTGTAGAAGAGGATAGGGTGGGAGAGCCATTAAGGGATAGGAGCGGGGACGTGAAGACGGTCAACAGAGAATAATAATGGTGAGGAGGAAAATGGATCGAGGATGGATGATACCCCGTGCTGGTGATGTCCTCGATGATGTTCGCTCTTGGGGCACAGCAGTGGTAGCCCTGGTTTCTGGTTGCCCAGCCGTTGTTGTTTGTATTGTTTGTTCACGCCTAGTTGATCGCAAATCGCTGGGCCGAAGATGTTTTTTTTCCGAATCCATCCCACGCCGGAAGCTAAACCCTCATATCCAAATGGTTTACCCTATTCCGCCGACCCCAGAAGAGAGAGCCCACGTCGTTTGTGGAATAGTTTGCATTCGCAGGTGGAGTATAGATGGAGCAAGATAAGGAGGAGGAGGAGGAGGAGGGTAAGGGGAAAGAGGAGGAAGAGAAGGAGGTTGAAGAGGTTGTTGCTGGTGAGCGACAGGAAGTCAGGGGAAAACGCCAGAGACGCTCACTTTCCCTCTGAGAGTCGGAGGCGAAAAATCCTCACGGTCCTGGGAGTCCTTCCTGCCGGTCTCGCCGAGGGACCTGCCGTGCTCCATGTCGTCTCGCGGGACGCTAGGCCTGTAGCTTGGCGCCTCCTTGCGGGGGCGGAGGGCGGACCCGAACTGTCATCGAGCCTTGCTGGGCCTCGTGGAAGCTTCGGGGGCCACTCACGACAGGGTTCTTGGTGGTAGCCCGACCGTGGAGATGTTTGCCATCCCTCCTCCCTCCTCCCGAGGAGGAGGAGGAGGAGGAGGAGGAGGAGGAGGAGGAGGAGGAGGAGGAGGAGGAGGAGGCTATGATACGCTTCAGCTGAGACCTCACCTGAGGCGATCGAGGGTGCCCCTTGCGCTTCTCCTTGAGAGGCTGGCCTGGCTTCAAGTCCTCACAGTGGGCACCGCACCGCACACGGTAACATAGGACCGCACTTGCTCTCTGCGGAGATACCATCTCACAGTGCGCACTAAGGCATGCCCTTTCAGAATAGAGGGCAGAGGTGGCCACATCGGCCCAGTCCAATCCCTCACCACCTACCAAGCCACCCCAACCCAACCCGAAGGCTTCAATTTGCCCTCCATTTCCAGTGGGGGGGGTCGGGGAACATCGAAAAAACACATATGGAACCCGTACCCCCCCCCAACCCGAAATTCGGGTCTTCGGGTTGGGTTGGGGTGGTCTGGTAGGTAGTCACAATCCCCACCCCCAAGCAGCCCAAAACCCGTCGCCACCACCCTCCACTCGCAACATCCTCTTGAGCCCCGTGGCTCTGGATCAGGCTCTGGCGGCGGCGGCTCTGAAGATTCGGGCAGAGGCCTGGACTTCGCTCGGGTCCACTCCCACCGTGTCCAGCCTGGTCTTATCGGGCGAAGAGAGCTATGCACATGCACCGATCCTGGCAAGGCCCATCCTCGACCCAGGTTCGGTGCATATGCTTTTCTGGCCACGGCAGGAGGGCATATGCACCGATCCTGGGCTCAGGATGGTCCTGGCAAAAATCGGTGCATGTGCATAGTTCTCTTTCCTCCATCTTATCAATCGGCGCCCGATCTTCACCTAGAACACGCCTCAACGAATCTGGCCCAGCTCACCCCGAGCCTGCGCACCCCCATCCTGGCACCCCGAGTGCCCAGCCTGCGAGCACGGCCCACCTTTCGACGGCCTGGCCCCGGGCGCCGCCTTCCCACGACGTGCTTGGTCAACCTTCGGAGTTTGATAGACCTCCTACCCCGACACGTCGATTCAGGAACTGGCCGCTTGCGGTTCGCGAGAGGATGTCGCGGTCGTTCCTGTTGCGGGTCCCGGTCCGTCGGTTTCGGTTCTCGGCCGTTTTCATCAAAGGGTGCTTTACTAAAGGGAGGTCTGCCCACCGCCGGAACCTCAACGGGCGCACACGCACTTCGTGAGCTTTGGGATCGACCGGCAGGCCCAGCTCCTCGGAGCGTGTCAGGCCAGCCACAGCTGGGGGAGCTGTGGTCCTTAACCCCCTGGGGGACCCATCGATTTCAACACCCCTCTCGAGAGATTGCTGGGCTCGCTGGTCCATCGTGCTTTCGCCGCCCACGGCACCGCAAACGCGGCCGGGAGCGGCTCGGGGAACGAAGAACACGGGAATGGTCTGTTGAGCCGATTGGCCCATGCATGGGCACGTGTTAGGCCAAAGAGGATAGACTGCAGCAGGAAGGGCAATGGGACGGCACCCACCAGCTGGCTTACTAAATAAAAATTGTTTGAAATGTCTACAACACATGTGGCCACATACCTCGTATCTCGGGTCGGGCGAAAGGGGGGGTTTGGGAAAGGGGGGGGTACAAAATCTGCTGCATGCAGCTGGTTTCGGCCCCGCCGCCGGGCCCATTCCTCGATACATGGGCGCCTGCAGCTGGTTTCGGCCCCGCCGCCGGGCCCATTCCTCGATACATGGGCGCCTCCCGGCGCCGGGAGGCGCCGGGAAAATCAGCTACGTGAGCTGATTCTCAAACCCCCCCTTTGCTATCCCCCCCTTTTGCCCGGCCCGAGTATCCATACATAGCCGCCTCCGGCGCCGGGAAGCGCCGGGAAAATCAGCTACGCGAGCTGATTCTCAAACCCCCCCTTTGCTATCCCCCCCTTTTGCCCGGCCCGAGTATCCAACACCCCTCTTCGAGAGATCGTCGAGGCGATGGGTCCCCCCAGGGGGGTACGGACCCACAGCTCCCCCAGCTGTGGCCGGTCGGAGCGCGCGGCAGCGTGGCCGACCGCCTCCCGCGAGCACGGTGGCCGCCCGCCTGCGGAGGGCGCCCGCGGGCCCGGAGAGCCGCACCTCCTCCTCCTCCTCCTCCTCCTCCTCCTCCTCCTCCTCTCCTCCTCCTCCTCCTCCTCCCCCCCTCCCCCTCCCCCTCCTCCCCTCCAACTCCTCCTCCTCCTCCTCCTCCTCCTCCTCCTCCTCCTCCTCCTCCTCCTCGGGGCGGCAGAGAGGGGGGTTGGTCAACGGCACCGTAACGGGTACTTACTAACGGGTACTTTGAATGTTTGCCAGAAGTTGCCGCTTTGGGGCCTTTCTCTTGCACTGCGGCTCTGCCCACATCGGGAAGGGTTGGGATTCGCTGGGTCACTGGCCAAAGTACCCGTTCGTGGAGTCCCCGTTTGAGGGGCGCTGGGTTGGTGATTGAAGGGGGGGGGATGTCATGGCGTGGGCCATGATATCTCCCCGGATCTCATGGCGAAGAAGTGCAAAAAAACCCTCGAACGAAGGATTGCAAAAAAAACCCTTCTTGAACGAAGGATTGCAAAAAAACCCTTTGTTTGCAATCCTTCGAAGGGTTGTTTTGCAATCCTTCGATGGGTTTTTGTTTGCATTCCTTCGGTTTTTTTTGCAATCCTTCCCATTTGATTACGTCCCCGGGCCCCCTCGCTGGGCCGCGCACGTGCCGCCGGACATGATGTGCCCCCCCCCCCCATCTTGGACCCCCCCCCCCTTGGCCGCTCCCGAGCATCACCACTCACCAAGCCACCCCAACCCAGCCCGAAGGCTTCAATTTGCCCTCCATTTCCAGTTGGGGGGGGGGTCGGGGAGCACTGCAAAAACACGAGGAACCCGTACCCCCCCCAACCCGAAATTCGAGTCAAATTCGGGTCTTCGGGTTGGGTTGGGGTGGTCTGGTAGGTAGTCAGAGCACAGCGAAGGAACGCCTTCGGCCGATCCTGCTGCGTCAGGAGCATTAAGTCGGGCCTGCCCCTCTACTCGGGGGCAGCATTCAAGAATAGCAAACAACAGTCTGGGGACGATCTCTTGACCGTTTTTGACTAGTCTGGTGTGTTGTTTGACTATTTCTTATGTTTCGTCCAAGGTCTGCCTGTAGGGGGACAGGCCCGACTTAGCAGGAGCGAGGGCCTCAAGAGGAGCAACTTCGCCAAGGCCGTGGCCCCAGAGCATCCCGCCACCACATCTGCACTCGCCACGATCGGGTCAGACACCGCACCTCAGACACTAGGGCTCTGTGTCCCGCGCAAATGCTGCAGTAGCCTCTGAGGGCCTTGCTCGGGAACCCATGCTGGAGCCCAGCAGTCTTAAGATCAAGGTTACAGATGTGCTCATGTAAATGGCTGAGGTCCACCAGGACCGATCCCGCGGCGAAAGCGACCTCCTTGCGGAACCTCCCAGGAAGGCTGTGGACTCAGCCAGCCCTCTCGCACGTGGTGTGGGGCCCTGACCCCCAGCAGACGATCTCGGCATGATTGAGCCTCCATGCCTCGGAGTACGGCTGGCGGATGCGCGACCGTTGCTGGAGCGCCAGGCATAAGAGGCCGATGTGGCGCACGCCGCCGTGGGGCTTACCGATAAACACGCCGTAGGGTTAAGGAAGAGCAGCAGATCCAGAGATCTGGTCCTCAAACTTGGTCAGGATGTGAACAAAAACGCAGCTGATGAATCACGGGTCAGGTCCGGGATCCATCTTGGGCGAAGACCGTCCCACCCCAAGCCAGTCCCAGGAGAGTACGTCCGACGCCTTTTCAGCAGCTGCTCCATGGTGATGGGAGCGAGAGACTCCTGCTCTTCTGGCACTTGCCAAAGGGGGGTGCTGGTCGATCCTGCCTTGGCCAAGCGTCTCCAGAGCCCCCGCACCCACGCACGGTAAACTGCCAGAGTCCAGGGGGCACGATAGGTTGGAGGCGGTTTTCTTCATAGCATATATGTATATATACATGTGTATATATATACGCGCCCGATCTATACATATATATAAGATACACGTATACATATATATATATATATATATATATATGTACATGTATATATATATGCATATATATATATATACATACGCACCCGTGCCTCCCTCCTTGACGTTTTCAACCGCCCAGGTCCTCCACTCTTTTCAATGATGACTTCGCGTCCTCTTGCCTCCTCTCGCCCGCCTCCTCCTCCACCGGAGACAGGGCATTGTGAACAGGCTGGCCCCCCGAGGTCACCACCTCGGCAAGGTCAAGCAAACATGCGTTGGTGAGTCGCGGGTTCTGGGCGTCAGACGGGGCAATGTCCGACACCATCGACTGCAGGTCGCGGCGCCACTGTGTTCGGCGCCACGTCGAAGCATCGCATTTCGTTGTCGGTGTGGCGCAATTGCGCCATCGCGCATGGCGGGGTTCGCGCGACATCTGGCCAGTCGCGCCGCGACGCGCGAGACCTCGATGGCGGAACGAGACTCCGACACCCATGGTCTCACAACGAGCATTCTGCGGATGCTACGCATGTCGTGCTCCCCCTTTGCATGCGGCGGCGCGGGGATAGAAGCAAAGAGGTAATTCGTTTTCGGGCGCAGCCCAAGCAGGTGAGGGGAGCTTTGACACGAGCGTCGATGTCGCCCACAATAATGCGGGTGGGGGTGTGGTGAGGGGGCGCGCTTTTTGGCAGCATGCGTTGATGTGTCTTGTTTGGTTGTATAGCTTGCGTTGTCTTGCTCTCCATCTACCGTGTTTTTTTTGTGTTGCCCTGCTCCCCCTCTAGTTTTGATGCTGTTTGTTATATACAATTGTTCTATAATAGATCTACACACCTCGCCCTCTCTCTCTCTCTCTCTGTATCTCTCTTTCCTCCCCCCCACCTTCCCGTGTCCCCCCAATGCCCGCCCCACAGCGCCCGCAGGTCGTTGGCGTGTTCCCCGGTCCGAAATTCGACGACGCTGAAGGCGCCGACGGGGGCGAGGCGGACGTGGAACTGCTCGGCTGGGAGGACTACGGCGTCGTCGTCGCGACCGTCGCCGCCGCCGTCGCGTCCGTCGCGGAGGAATGGGGAATGAGCCTGGGAAGGAGGAGTGGGTGAGTGACGACGGTCGCGAAGCGAGTTCGGTGCAACACACGCCCCCCCTGAGCTTGTCGAAGAAGGCGACCAACAGGAAGGAGACGCACTTCGATCCATACACGGCCGACTGAAGCCGGTGAAACACCGAGATGATACCACGGATGGGTCCCCGCAGACAGAGACGACACCCATGGTGCTGAAAGTCACAAAGCATGGCGAGGTTAAATTGAAATGAGTTCGGCTCGATACGGCCCAGTACAGGGTGAGAACACCATTGGACATCCGGCAACCCTGATGGAGCCTCATCCAAAGACAGCCTCGCCAACAGCCAATACAAAAAGACCACAACACAGTATGTAACGACTGTATGTCCACCCCTTCAATACAACCGACCGAAATACTAGGGAAGTTGAAACACTGCAACAGAACTCCCAGGACCACACTTCCAGCGACAAAAACCGCCGCCCGAGTGGGACTTGGAGCACCCGTGCCCCTCGGTTGCGGACGGGATGCCGATTAAGGAGTCCATGGAGAGCACCACGACAAACACAGCCGCGCACAGCATCCCGAGTGGGATTTAGATGGGCTCGGAGCCCCCGTGCCCCTCGGCGCGGCCGGGATGCCGAGGAACGTGTTCTGGAAAGGTTCAAACTGAAACACGAAATTGCGATAACTTGAATTCGCCAGTCCTTGCCATCACCGAGAACAACTGTCTTACGAACGGTTCTGTGGTGGGAGCCCCCCAAGCGCCACGAGAAGGCAATGGGCTGGGCGCTCCATGGCTAGCTCGAGCCCAACTAGGTACGATGCCTTTGGCCACCCGTGCGTGAGCCTGGGAAGGAGGAGGAAAGGAGGAGGAGGAGGAAAAGGAATAGAAGGAAGAGGATGTTGATGATGATGATGAGGAGGAGGAGGAGGAGGAGGAGGAGGAGGAGATGGAGGGGGAGGACGCGGAGAGGAGGAGAGGAGGAGGAGGAAGAGGAAGGGGGGAGCAGGGGAGGAGGAGGAGAGGAAGAGGCGGAGGAGGAGGAGGAGGAGGAGGACGGGAGGAGGAGGAAGGGAGAAGGAGGAGGAGGAGGAGAAGGAGGAAGAAGGGAGGAGGAGCAGGAGGAGGAGGAGGAGTAGGAGTAGGAGGAACGGAGGAGGACGGGGAGGAGGGGGAGGAGGAGACGAGGAGGAGGAGGTGGAGGAGGAGGAGGAGGAGGAGGAGGAGGAGCAGGACGGGAGGAGGACGGGGAGGAGGAGAAGGAGGAGGAGGAGGAGGAGAAGGAGCGGGAGGCTATAGACTCGCATTTTCCGTTCTGGCAGTTGTGCTTGTTGATTGAAGTTTACAGGGCGCCGAGGCTGCGCGACCTACCAGAGGTGTGCGGTGATTCTATCGAGGTACAGCAGACGTTTGTCCCAGGGTGCACGTTTGTTACGCTGATGCTTCAAGTACTGCTTCTGGGACCTCTCCGCAGAGTCCAGGCTGCACACCGCTCGGTCGTTCTAGCTGTCCCTGTCGACGGTGTTTCCGTGCAGCGCTCTGGCGGTGAGGAACGCGTGGGTGACGAGCTTGAACAGTCGACCACACGTCTCGTGTCAGAGTTGCACAACGTGGACATGCAGCTCGCAGTAGACAAGCGACGGGTTCTCAGCAACTCGAAGCAGCTTCGACATCGACTCGCTCGCAGTGTTGGGCATCTTGGGATTCAGGCCGTGGTAGCTGGGCGCAGTGTGGGAGTCGATTTCGGTGCTCGAAGGTGCGACCACGGCGCACTACTGCTGCACGCTTTACCATCATCAAGAAGCGAAGAGGCCGCATGCCAAGTTTGAGATCAGGTCGGCCTTGAAAGAAGCGTATCGGTCAGCTGAGTCGGTCAGCACTGGGGGGCGCCAACGCCCTCAGCACGGCCGTCACAGGTATCATCGAGACGTAGCTTAAGACTCCTCGCAGTCTCGCAGGCCAGATGCACGATCACAAGCAAGCTCGCAAGAGCCTCATTTTGGCCCACAGATTGGCACCTACCAAGAACTCGGTTACCCGTCAAAATTGTCCGGCTGTGCTTGCCTGAGTTTTGGATGCCCCGACAGGTTTTTGATAAGAACCATAGGCAAGTGGGCGCCCATCTCAGCCTCCTGAAGTAGCTGGGCCATGCATTATGCTTTGGGCTTCTCTGCATAGGGTCGGCATTCGGGCGCACTCTCTGGAGCTTTGGAGCTTTCCTGGAGATCGTGTTCTGAACATTTCTGAGGGCTGCCCCTTAAGCAGCAGGCGAACAGCACGTTATGCGAGCTGTTTATCATGTGGCACTGCGCGACGATAGCCAGGCATGCTGATGCACCTGGGTCTTTCGCCGGTGTGCGCATCACTCCTGTCCCATCCTTTTTGCGCTCTCAGGTTTTGCCGCAGCATTGTTCGTATGTGACATCGTGTGTCATCGGGTCCCAGTGGCTAACTACTGCGAGGCAGTGGCAGGCTGGGTACCCTGTTGAGCCGCACTGACTTGTTTGCCAATCTGTAGGCAGCACGAAAGTCGGCGCCCTGATGCACAGGCATTGCGCGTGCGCAGAGCACGCTTTAAAGCTCGAAGAGCCACACGCGTTATGTCAGTCCGTCGGCGAAACCGCCCGCAACGATGGATTACAGCAGCTGCTCGCCGAGCGTTGTTTGATGCTGATGCCTCTTTCGGAGCGTCCTCACTTGCCCAACCTTCCCCCCCTGCTCTGGGTCCACGGGTTCCCTGATTGGCTCACTGAAGAGGTTTTCCTTGATGGCTCCATTTTCGAGGGTGACATGGGCACCTGGGCCGCTTGAGGCTGGTCCGTTGTTGCGCTTGCGAGAGGTGCCAGAACCCTCTGCGAGGTCACAGTTCTGATGTGCGGCCAAGTCTTCTTTTCTTTTGTTGCGATGAACGGGGCTGAGTTGAGGGCCGTGCTCGAGTGTCTCAAGCATGCATGTAGTCCCCTCGCTGTGCAAACTGACTCGAAGTAAGTGTTCAATGGGGTCATGTGCCAGGGCCAGTTCTACACAACACAGGTGTTGGACTCCCCCCCGGCTTTCTTTGGCGCAAGGTGTACGTAGGTTAGGCTCGACGTGAGGGGGTACAACGGTTCGGAGTCGTGCTCGTCGGTTCGTTTCGTGAAAGTCCCAACCTACTTCACGCGCGCCGATGTTAACTAGGGCAACGTTTTGGTCAGAGCCAAGCTCGGCAGTGACATGGCCGACAAGCGCGCCCGATGGGCGGCCCAGGCCTTCCGAGTTCCCCCGCAGGCTGCTGCCATCGCGTTTGAGTCCTAGGTGGAGCGGGTGGGCATAGGAGGGGTGGACATTCCTGGCTTCTC